GCAAGGAGACGTATTGTGTGAAAAGAAATCTAAGATGTTGTATAATTGCTTATATATTTATGATCCACGTCACGTTTTTAGTTTTGGCGGCAGTTCTCCTGTTTGTCTAGAAGTCTTCTCAGCAGGGCTCTATAAATAGAGAACTACGGCAGATATGTAATATTTAATGCAGCCGAACCGTGTATTACAATGCCGTTATGTGATGACTTTCAAAGAGTAAAGCAAGCACACTCGGAATAAAGTATTATTGTATTTTTAAAAAACGTTTTCAGATTTCACATCACATAAACACCAAATCCCATTATGCATTGCGGATAACCATCCAATCATCGAGCTGAGGATCTTGCCTACCTCTGTTTCCGGTTTCGTTTAATGACCGATGTATTTTGTTATACACACATTCCTTCACATTTACATTTGAATGTGCATTAAAGTATTTCGTGAGGCCTTCTAACATGTTTTTAAATATAACTACGGTTGTAGTTTAAGAGTTTGTAAATTAACATGAACCGAAGCTGTTGCTTGGCAACTCAATCGCACAACGTCACGTCCGTTAATTCCACATCCACACGCATGGATTAACATCGATTTAATACATTAATGTAGCCTTTATTTCTGCTAAAAGAGGTGTCGACCAGCTGGGGCAACAAGAAAATCGCTGTAATCGAGTGTGACTATTAAAAAATAAATCATTACGTTTGGGTAGCATTTGCTTGGTATTTCCGGTTATTTCTCCACTGGTTAACAATACCGTGTAGCTGTCACGTTTGAAGGGGACGAAACCGTGACATGTTCACGTCTCCCAGCATGGTAAATCGTCACATGTTCACGTCTTTCCGTGATACCGGGTTGGTATTACTAGCAGCTTCACTTGTAGCTTCGGTGCTGCTAGCCTCTTTCTTCTTGTGAATTATTTTCTTTTTAGAAAAGAAGTCAAGTAAGACATGTTAGCCTGCCATTATAGAGCTGTTTCGTTAGTGTTCTTGAGGGAAAGAGCTGCCGCAAAATCGGCGGGCGCGGCAAGCTGGCTCGCCGTGGGTGTGTCAGTGACCGCGAGCGTGATGATGAATCATACTTTTTTAAGGAAATCGTTTTTATTTTTTATTATAATTACTGTGAAATGTATTATGTTTTCGTCATTATTACAACAAATAGACACTTGCAACTGATAACACTGGCAATGATTTTATATTTATTAGACTTAAAAAAAAGATCATGCTCCAAATAAGTGGGGGTAGGCGTACCGCCGCGTCCAACGCCCACTACACCATTGGGCTTAACTGGATAACCCCTTAGAACCGGCCCATTTGTTGTTAAATATCTATTTAAATGAATCTTTCTCTTGTTAGTCAAGGAATTCAATGTATGATGGTTGGTCCTGCTTTTGTGTTCCGTTTTGGTGTAAAATGTAGCCTACATTTAAATACAAATATAATTATAGTAATGTGAAAGCCTTTTAGAAATGAATTGCAGATAATAATTCCCACGGAGCTTTTCCACTCATCTTCCAGTTCTCGGTTTTCCTCTGTTGAAATCGACCAGCTGTGAAGGTGGGGGCGGGCCTTTTATACACGAGTAGTGAAAACACTTCCGCGTAGTTTGCTCGCGTGTATCCTCCCTTTCGTCTCCTCCCGCACCCCTCCTCCCTCCTCGACTCCTCCGTGTGCATTTCAGCTATTGGGACGTCCTTCAAAATGGCATGTCTTGATCGATTTCCGGGTCAAGTCCCGGAGGAGGGGAATTGGGATGAGGCTAAGGAAAACCCACCCAAATGGCCTCAGAAGAGGTTTTTTTTGCTAAATCTGTCTAAAAAGGTCAAATATCACTTGTTTGGCATCAATCTTGATACAGGGTACTTATTATATGTTGTACTTTGTATTCCTAAAGCTTTTAGTCTACTAACCCATCATCCAAGGGTAGTTTTCACTATAACTAAAAAATATTTTTTGGACGGACACTATAATTTACAGTTTTTTACCATGTTCAATCTGAATTTTCTTTAAAATAAAAAACATCTATATTGATTCTGTCTTTTCTACATCCAACTCAGGTTTATCATTACTTTAAGAAAAAAGATTATTAATTTAACCCTTTTAGAAGATATGGATTTGTTCTGGAAATGTCATTTTCGAGCCTGAAACCTGAAAAACATGCTTGGGGCTTAAGAGGTAGGTCAGCCATTTTCTATGATGATGGAGATCAGACACATTTAGACCAGGTTTCACTTTGCTGCCTTTTTAATATTTGATGATCTCTGGCAGGGGATCATCCTCCTCCTCCTAGTTTAATTATTTAAAAGAAATATGTTTTTTATGGTAAGTTTAAAATTCATAAACAACAAAAAGAACATGTAATGTAACTTCTTCTTCAATGTCTCAGCCCCTCCACAGCACTCCAAAGTGCACCGATGGGTACACACACCCCCATTTGAGAAACACTAGTCCAACTGACCTCCTTTGTCAAACATGTTTTGCTCTGGGAGGACATTTGTAACTCCATCTTTTAGTCAATAAGCTCCTGAACCTTCCACCTGTCTGTCAACGCTCCATCTCTGCAGGGCTGAGGAGGAACGAGAAGCTGCTTCTGCAAAGAGACGTGAGATCAGGAAGTTGAAGTCAAAGGAAGAATATTGGGCTCTCATGCAGTAAGAGTAAATGTATATGTCGAGTAGGTCAACAGAACCTTTTGAGCTGAATTGTCTTGAGAGTAAAACTATATAATTTAACACTACTTTACTTTTCCTGCATTGTTGATTTATATCTATTTGCCTAGTCCTTATTTTTTATTTAAATGTAATGAGATTTTTCTTTAGATTCTGGAAATATACAGAATACAAATAAACATGTAGTGATAGTATGAATAAAAAACAAAAATAACACGAGTTAAACTCTGAACTTTAACAGGTGAAAGTACATACATAGAGTAAAGGTTGAATATATATACATTATATAAACCACATAAACACATGTATCTGGTTTCTATGTGTTATCAGTGGCAGATTGGACATGCTGATGAAAGCAGTGTGAAGTCAACACACATTTATGTTTAATTATAAGAAATACCACAAGAAAGAAGAAGAACTGTAGGAATAAAATAACTTCTGTCTTTATTTCTTCTCCTTTTATAGGGAGTACCTCTTGAACTTTGAACCTCACCTCCCCCCCAGGTATTCACTTCTCCTGATTGTTATCAGGGAAACCTGAACGAGTTGTTTTTCTACTTTATTAAACAGGAATACTTTTTCACTCAATTCTGACTTTCAAAATGAAGATTTGGTCTTTAAAAAAATAAGAATTAGGAAATGGAATATATCAAGTAATTTATTATCAACTTGTAATTCCCTCTTTAAATAATCCAAGTCCAGATTACATTCAAAGGCTGGATTTTAATCTGTATATTTTGGTGCTATTTCATTGATTTACTGATTTAGATGTTTTATTAATAGCACATAAAGAAACAATGTTCACAATTAAAAACATGTAATAGAGGAATATGCAATGAGAGGCCAAAGACCTACAAGGCTCATTGAGGGTCTCTTTAAATACAATGATGTATTCAAAAAGGAATCTATCTAGAAATTTACTGCAAGATTTGTGTTTGTATTTTATTCTGCAGTTCTTTGGCCATGTCTGAATCTGAGGAGGAAGAGGAGGAGGAGGAGGAGGAGGAGGAGGAGGAGGAGGAGGAGGAGGAGGAGGAGGAGGAGGAGGAGAAGGAGGAGGAGAAGGAGGAAGAGGAGGAGGAGGAGGAAGAAGAAGAAGTAGTAGTCCCGCCCTTTCTGCCCCGTCTGTGTGAGGAAGACGAGAGGTGAGATGAAGATGTTTGACAGACTTACCGGGTTCATTCTGGACATCAAACGTTTTGTTCAAAGAGATTAGTTATTATAATCTAATTATTGTTATTGTATTATATATTAGTAGAGAGAAACAAACTAGTTTTCACCTGTTCCTTTGATTCAAAGCATTTAGTCTTTGGTTATAAACCTCATGACATTTTGATTTGAATAACCCAAATGAAAAAGGTGAAACACAGTGCTGTGCTATCAGCGCCTCCTTCACTAAAAACAACATGGTAATAAACAAAGGAAGACTGCCGTAACTCCATTCATGGCTGTAGTGGAGAGTTAGAGATAACTCAGTGTTGGCACTAGTTTTGTGTCGATCACTAGGTTCACCCAGGTGTGTCGGCCAGAACACTGCTTAAGGCCAAAGGTCCAGAATAGAGGAAATGAGGAGCTAAGATGAGGCTTGACTTCTTTACTTATTTAGGCAGACATACAGATATTTGTCTCTGTGTGGTTTTTCCTACAAGGGAAATAAACAAAATACAATCAATATAAGATAACTTATGCATACATAAATGATATACATAATAATACCAAACCCTATAGAAATAATAATCTAGACAAGCTATAATACAACATGTCTCCCTTCTCTTATCAGAAAGAAGAAGAACTGTAGGAATAAAATAACTTCTGTCTTTATTTCTTCTCCTTTTATAGGGAGTACCTCTTGAACTTTGAACCTCACCTCCCCCCCAGGTATTCACTTCTCCTGATTGTTATCAGAGAAACCTGAACGAGTTGTTTTTCTACTTTATTAATACTTTTTCACTCAATTCTGACTTTCAAAATGAAGATTTGGTCTTTAAAAAAACAAGAATTAGGAAATGGAATATAACAAGTAATTTATTAATCAACTTGTAATTCCCTCTTTAAATAATCCAAGTCCAGTTCACATTCAAAGGCTGGATTTTAATCTGTATATTTTGGTGCTATTTCATTGATTTACTGATTTAGATGTTTTATTAATAGCACATAAAGAAACAATGTTCACAATTAAAAACATGTAATAGAGGAATATGCAATGAGAGGCCAAAGACCTACAAGGCTCATTGAGGGTCTCTTTAAATACAAATATGTATTCAAAAAGTAAATCTGAATACTTCTTCAATACAATTTGATTTGACTGCAAGATTTGTGTTTGTATTTTATTCTGTAGTTCTTTGGCCATGTCTGAATCTGAGGAGGAAATCCCGCCCTTCCTGCCCTGTCTGTGTGAGGAAGACGAGAGGTGAGATGAAGATCTCTTTATGTTCATGTCAGATCCAGATGTTTGACAGACTTACCGGGTTCATTCTGGACATCAAACGTTTTGTTCAAAGAGATTAGTTATTATAATCTTATTATTGTTGTTATATTATATATTAGTAGAGAGAAACAAACTAGTTTTCACCTGTTCCTTTGATTCAAGCATTTAGTCTTTGGTTATAAACCTCATGACATTTTGATTTGAATAACCCAAATGAAAAAGGTGAAACACAGTGCTGTGCTATCAGCGCCTCCTTCACTAAAAACAACATGGTAATAAAAAAAGAAGACTGCCGTAACTCCATTCACGGCAAAGTGCTGTTAGTTTCAACATCACATCAATATTCAACATTGAAACTAGCTGAACAAACCTTATCCTGAAGGGAATGCCTTTGTTCTAGAGCAGTGGTTCTCAAACTTCTTCATACCAAGGACTACTTAACCAATAAAAAAACACACGGACCACCTAACTCCCCAAATATCCAGAAACAAAAGGCCTGCTCATATCGCCTCGTTCACACATTAAATCAACAATACAAATACAACTACAAATTCTTCAAGCATTTCCTTCATATTGAGATTTAAAATGCTCACAGGCATATGAAATGTAGACTACATTTAATGTGTGGAAGTCAACACACTGTGATAATAAAACATTATAATTGATGTTTAATTATGAGAAATACCACAAGAAAGGGGAAGAATTGTTGGAATAAAATAACTTCTGTCATTATTTCTTCTCCTCTTATAGGGAGGACTTCTTGAACTTTAAGCCTATTTATTACATGGCTTGGTTGAATACTCGATTCTGATTGGTCAATTCAGAACACGTGACACGTTGTTAATCCAGTAGTACAGACCGCTGTCAAGGATTTATTGACCGTTGTTAAGGACGTTCACATCTGCAGAAAGAAGTCCGGCCGATTTAACTGCATGCAAACAGACAAGCAAACAGTTTGAAAGTCCCCAGCGAGGAAAAGAAAAAGACAAGAGGGACAAGAAAACAGCGGAGAAGTAACAGGGCAGAAATCCTCAACACGGAGCTGCGGTCCTTTTTACGCAACAGTCCAGACATAGACATCAAACGGCAACACATATTCAGTTGCCAGTTACTTTGGCTTTCGGGCATTGAGAACGTGGCCTTGTAAAAAGCGGGATAATGTGCAGCGACTTGGTCATTATGGGTAAAAGAACACCGACAGGCTGATCAGCAGCCCGACGCCAAGCGGAGGGATCTCGCTGCACATTATCCCTTACATCTAACATCACCTCCAGGTATTCACTTCTCCTGATTGTTATCAGGGAAACCTGAATGAGTTGTTTTTCCACATTATTAAACAGGAAGCACTTTTTCACTCAATTTTGACTTTCAAAATGAAGATTTGGTTTAAAAAAAAAAAAAACAAGAATTAGGAAATGGAATATAACAAGTAATTTATTAATCAACTTGTATATTTTGGTGCTATTTCATTGATAAAATAAATAAAGAATGTTGCAATGAGAGGCCAAACACCTAAAAGGCTCATTGAGGGTCTCTTTACGTTCAAATATATAAGCTCCTAACGTTTCTCTCTGTTCATCAACGCTGCTTTGGCTCCAGTCCTGAGGAGATGAGAGCAGCTTCTCCTGCACCGAGCTGTAGAGTAAAGGTTGAATATATATACATTATATAAACTACATAAACATATGTATCTGGTTTCTATGTGTTATCAGTGGCAGATTGGACATGCTGATGAAAGCAGTGTGAAGTCAACACACTGGGATAAAAACACGTTTTCATTGATGTTTCCTTTTAAGAAATACCACAAGAAAGAAGAAGAACTGTTGGAATGAAATAACTTCTGTCTTTATTTCTTCTCCTTTTATAGGGAGGACGTCTTGAACTTTGAAGATGGACCTATCACCTCCAGGTATTCACTTCTCCTGATTGTTATCAGGGAAACCTGAATGAGTTGTTTTTCTACTTTATTAAACAGGAAGCACTTTTTCACTGAATTTTGACTTTCAAAATGAAGATTTGGTTTAAAAAAAAACAAGAATTAGGAAATGGAATATAACAAGTAATTTATTAATCAACTTGTAATTCCCTCTTTAAATAATCCAAGTCCAGTTCACATTCAAAGGCTGGATTTTAATCTGTATATTTTGGTGCTATTTCATTGATTTATTGATAAAATAAATAAAGAATGTTCACAATTAAAAACAAGTGATAGAAGAATATGCAATGAGAGGCCAAACACCTAAAAGGCTTATTGAGGGTCTCTTTAGGTACAAATATATAAGCTCCTAACGTTTCTCTCTGTTCATCAACGCTGCTTTGGCTCCAGTCCTGAGGAGATGAGAGCAGCTTCTCCTGCACCGAGCTGTGTGTCCATGATGAGTGACCGCTCCATGCGGCTACCCGTTTCTTTCAAACGGTAAGATGGACTTTCTGACATTTTCCAGCATTAATTTTCTTAAGAGTATAACAGCATTATTTAACACTAACATATCTGCAGTGCTGATGTCGTGAATATCAATCACTCACAACAAGAAAGAATACACAGAGAGAGATCAATAAAACACAAACACAGAATATGGTTGATAGGAAGGACTCTGGTATCAGTAATGAGGTGTGGCCCTACCTCAGTGTGAGTGGGGCAGTGTGCAATATTATCCCATATGTAGTTTGTCTTGTTGGAGTCGGGAGGCCTGTTAATTTAATCCGGCAATGACTCAGACCTCCTGATTGACCCAACAGAAGTTATTGAGTCTATGTAAGTTTACTGCTTGGCTCAGATCCACCAAGGTCAGCAAGATCTCACCTCTACTAACTCCTGAAGAACCAGGTTCCATTAACTGCTGTTTCAATTCAGACGACCCGCTAAATCTGTTTAAGCGATCCCGAAGGATTCTGATATCAGTGATGAGGTGTGGTCCTACCTCAGTGTGAGTGGGGCAGTGTGCAATATTACCTTTTAAGCAGGAGAGGAGAGCGCAGATTTATTTAGGTTCTCCCAATCCAAAGGGTGGGATCAGTTTATTTGAAGAAAATGGTCCACACGTGTGCAGGGTTTTTACATTCTCTCGTTACAATGTGACAATCATACAAAACATATCATGCTGTGGTCCTGTTCTAATATGAAACCTCACTTCACAGTTTTACATTTATTATTTTATTTCGTAAATCTCTCTTCAACTGTCCCTCTTCAGTTGTGACATTAAATTCACATGCACATTTCCCTTTAGATGATACTTATCAGACTTTAAAGCATTAAGACGTTTCTCAACCCGTTCTTTCTCGATACCTTAACTGAGTGTTCCTCTGAACAGCAGGGGAATATGTCCATCATGTAGATCATGCTTGTTCACGTTAGAAATGTTGTTAGCCGTGTCCATCTACCTCTGTCTTTCAAACGGCATGATTTACCTTAAAGGTAGGTCAGCCATTTTCTATAGAGGATGGAGATCAGACACATTTAGACCAGGTTTCCCTCCTCCTCCTCCTCCTCCTCCTCCTCCTCCTCCTCCTCCTCCTCCTCCTCCTCCTCCTCCTCCTCCTCCTCCTCCTCCTCCTCCTCCTCCTCCTCAATAAGCTCCTAACCCTTCCCCCTGCATTACCTTCAGGCCTGCGAGCTGTGAGTCTGTGAAGAGTGACCAATCCATGGGGCCCCCTTTCAAACGGTAAGAGTCAATGTCTATGTACGTCATCAGAACCTTTTGAGCTGAATTGTCTTAAGAGTATAACTATATCATTTAACACAATATTACTTTTCCTGCATTGTTGATATATATCTATTTGCCTAGTCCTTATTTTTTATTTAAATGTAATGAGATTTTCTTTAGATTATGGATATTTATTACATGGCTTAGTACTTGATTCTGAACGGGGCAGAAACCCTCAACACGGAGCTGCGGTCCTTTTTACGCAGCGGTCCAGACACAGACATCAAACGGCGACACATATTTAGTGTGCAGTTCCTTTGACATTAGGGCAGAGATATCTAGATACTTCCCAAGGTTTGACATCATGAATTGTGCTACTTTTAAAGCAAGCAGCGATGTTTTCAAATCTGTAATCAAAAAGCTCCTCAAAAACACTATCGAAGCAGTTCCTGCCGTTGCTACGATAGTTCAAACGGTAACAACAGACTATTTTTCTTAGCGGATGCATGTCAATTTAAATCAATACAACTATTTTTTAAGTCAATAAAAACATTTTTTAAATCTATAAAAGCATTTAAATTAATATTGGGAGTCGTGTCGTTACTTTGTTGAGAATGTGGCCCTGTAATGCGCTTCTCGTCGGGCTCCTGATCTGCCTGTCGGTGTTCTTTTGCCTAATGACCGCCTCGCTGCACATTATCCCTAAACATGTACTATCAACACAAATCAAACAAAAATGACAATGAACTCCGTTCTGTGAACCTATACCTTACATCCTCCCAGGGTATTTACTTTTCCTGATTGTTATTAGGGAAATCTGAATAAATAGTTTTTCTACATTATTAAAACCCTGTCCGTCAACGCAGATCTAAATTCAGTCCTGAGGAGGAAGAAGCAGTTTCTCCTGCATCGAGCTGTGACCCCATGAAGAGTGACCGCTCCATAAGGAACCCTCTAGATTTCCAACGGTAAGAGTCAATGTCTATGTATGCTCCTTTATCTTTAGATGATCCATATCAGACACTATTAGTCCGGGTTTTCTTCCCATCCTTTGGATTCTCTGCACCGAGCTGTGAGCTCAGGAAGAGCGACGGCTCCATGGGTTTCCCTGTAGCTTTTAATAATTCTTAATCATCATTTCCATTACACTTTCAAACTGCAAGATTCTATGTGTTATGTTAGATGGGATATAACTCTATGCATCTACAAGTTAATGTTGTAACGTGCATTACAACACTTTGTTCATCACTTACTGATTGTATTTGTTCTCCAGAGATCGAGGGATAAATGCAGGACCCTGGACAGACCTGGACAGACCTGGACAGACCTGGACTCCATATTCTCGGTGTGTAGCATGGTGTGTAGTAGTATTGTGTTGACGTTCCCATGCAGTAGATGACATAATCAAGTCATCTAACCCTAACCCTTTTTGTTCATAAGTCAATTAATTTTAATAAATGTGTACAACTGTCCATATAAAGGCAGCTATGTTTAAGTGATTTAAAGCTATATTTAGAATTTGTATTGCTTAGAGACTGAAGTCTCCATATTAAATTGAATAATTAAAACGAAAGTTAATATAATCAAATATAATCTTGTATAACCCACAATGAAAATGCATTATATTTCATGTTGTTCTATAATCACAGTATTTACAAAAACAAGTGGTTTGTTAAGTTGAGTTTAAGGCCTATTGTAGTTTATGGGTGTCACTGTTTAAAGAGGGGAGTTTCTTTCCTCACAGCAAGCTGAGCACAGGGGGGGAAGTACTGGAGCCCCAACATGTGTTTAGGCCATACTATAGGAGCATATGTCTGGACATTTCCAGTCCTGCACACCAGAGGCTATGACCTGTTTTCTACATATATGGCAACCCTGTCTCCTAAAAATTACGTTCCCACAGAACTAAACTGCATTCTGAATTACGTTTAGCTTGAAACGTATTTACTCCCACGTTACGTTCGTTATGAACGTATCTAAAATACGTTTATTTTCTACATATCTTCTAGAAACGTATTTTCTCCCACGTTACGTTCCTTATGAACGTATCTTAAATACGTTTATTTTCTACATATCTTTGCCATTTATTGTCTTGCTTATAATAATGATAATAGTCATTTATAAATATCATTTTAGAGCACACCTTTGAAATCGAGAATCAGGCTCGATATATGGTTAAATTAAAATCAGTAGGCGAGGCTGTAATTTCGCCAGCTGTTACTCTCATGAGCGAGGCAGAAAATAATAGTTTTAACATGACAAAAAGCTGCTGTGTCGTTTACCTCAAACATTAAAACAAATCCAGAGTTACGTGTTTCTGAACTTCCTCTAAGAAGAAAAGACAGTAAAAGAAGAGCTCTGTGGCTTCAGGCTTGATCGCCGTTCAAATGACAGCGTTGGTTTCCCCAAAAGTGGGCGGAGCTGTAAAGTGACGTAGATTTTACTATCATCTATTATTCAAAACCATTCTATGTATTCTAACGTAAATTACATGCCAGTGTTTTATCTTTGTATTTATTTGTTTTTATTTTAAATCGTATAAATGTCTGTGAGGAAAATAAATGGGGTTTAGAGCCTCAAAATACTGAAATCTGTATTTTTTAAAATCTTTTCCTTCTAATTTGTTATTCTTTTCTAAATAACACACTGTTATTTACTCAACAATAACACACAATTATCCTTGTTTTTATTTATTTGTTTAATTCTATAATCTTGGGCTTTTTAGCCGTAAATAAAGTCACCAGAAACAGACGGGACATTTCGAGATTTAGGATGGCCGAAGACACTACATTACCCATAATCCCCAGCTATCGTTTGGGACTACAGTCCCGTTGACAAACCCCGTGATGTTGGAGTGGTAGTGCGCCAAGGTTACGCCGAGCGTCAAGCTCTTTGAAATGGAACGAAACCACGGCAGACTATTCAAAACTGGACTCGAACGCCCCCCGAGAAATACACATGCTGGCTATTGTGTTTCGCAACATGTTCTCTATGGCACGTATCTACTGGGAATTGTAGTTTTAAAAGACGTTTTTCCCAAAATTAGAAGTTGCCAGTATTAAACTGTGTACAGCCCTGGAGGTTTAGGCGATAGGAAACACATTGGTGTGTACACATTTAAAACATGTAATTACTAAATGGGTAAAAATCGCTTATATCCATAATGGGCAGCATTAATATATACCCACATGACAGCTTACTTTGTAATTCTACTCCACTACAATTCAGAGGTTAACCTGGTGTTTTTACTCCACTACATTTAGTTTAGTTACTTTGCAGATTCTGATTAATGATGTGAAATATAAACAACCCTTAAATCAGACTTTAGTTACACCTGAGTAAAATTCAGGGAAGGTGATTGTCAAGTGCCAACAATCAGGAGAGATATTTGATTATGGTGCTTGAGAAGACGAAACATTTATCTGCAGATCTCTATAAAGTATATTCATTACTCGTTATTCTCTACTAATAGTTAATTAAAAACTGTATAATGGCTATTTTGCACATCCCTTTCAAGATTTCAAGATTTTCTAAGGTTTATTGATCATATACACAACTTGGGTCACAGGTTCCTCAACAGCGCATTAGAAGACATCTATCAATATGTGTGTACCTCCACCATTAAACTGTCATATTCTGCACATTTCTTATTCTATCTACATAAGAGTATAATTAATGTGTATAATATCAGTTAAAAGAAGTGCTTCAACATAGTTAACATTGCAGGAAAGCAATATATTAGACGTTAAGTACTTTGTCAGGCTTAATATTCATCGGTAGATAGATACCCCCAAAGCTTTTTTCTTGTTTAAAATAAGACCTTAACCTAAAGTATTCTTTAATGTGTTAATAAAGGTTAATTCGTTTTTCTGTTTTGCACATCCTCCTATTAATATCTTTGTACATCCGGCACTAAACTGTTTTATTGTAGAGATCACTTATAGTATCTTCATGACTTTTTATATTCTATATTTCTATCATTGACCTTCTACTTTCCCCCTATGAAAGTATGTACTCTTAATATTTTTTTCATCAAATAACATTATTCAACAAAAATAATTCAATAACGTGCTTTAACCACTAGGCGGTGCACACAAGGTACACACAGCATACTAATAATAACTTTGTATTATTAGTGTAGAACACTTATGTATGTATAACATCTGAAGATGTGTAGTTTTATTCATGTTTTTACATAATTTTACAGGATATTGCTATATTATTTCACATGTTTTACTTCTACACATTAATATCTGATTTGTAAAACATCACAGACAGAAAGGTATATCCGTCATTTAATGGTACGCTATTGAAATTCTGAATCCATAGATGTGTCTCCCATCACCCAAATCCCCTGACTATTCTCTCAACTCAGTATTTACATTCTTATATTCAAAGAAAATCAGTAATATCTTTAAAAACTACAAGTCCTTTTCTATCAGCTGTGCACCGTTATGGTGTACATATAACCTATTATCTACCAATTGGATCAAATATAAAAGTCAGCCGAATTACTATTGATACTGCAAGGAGACGTATTTTGTGAAAAGAAATTGAAGATGTTTAATTGTTGATATATTTATGATCCACATCAAGTATTCAGTTTTGGCGGCAGTTCCTCATGTTTGTCTAGAAGTCTTCTCATCAGGGCTCTATAAATAAAGAACTACGGCAGATATGTAATATTTAATGCAGCCGAACCGTGTATTACAATGCCGTTATGTGATGACTTCCAAAGAGAAAAGCAAGAACACTCTGAATTAGGTATTATTTTATTTTTCGTTTTCGGATATCACAACTTATTAACACCATAGCCCAGCGTTTATTGCGGCTAAAACATCCAATCAACAAGCTTCAAGCTGAGGATCTTGGGTAATCACTTCGGTGGGTTTGTGGTGTGTATCGCTCGAAATGTCCCGTCTGTTTCCGGTGACTTTATTTACGGCTAAAAAGCCCAAGATTATAGAATTAAACGAATAAATAAAAACAAGGATAATTGTGTGTTATGGTTGAGTAAATAACAGTGTGTTATTTAGAAAAGAATAACAAATTAGAAGGAAAAGATTTTAAAAAATACAGATTTCAGTATTTTGAGGCTCTGAACCCCATTTATTTTCCTCACAGACGTTTATACGATTTAAAATAAAAACAAATAAATAAAAAGATAAAACACTGGCATGTAATTTACGTTAGAATAAATAGAATGGTTTTGAATAATAGATGAGAGTAAAACGTCACTTTACAGCCCCGCCCACTTTTGGGGAAACCAACGCTGTCATTTGAACGGCGATCAAGCCTGAAGCCACAGAGCTCTTCTTTTACTGTCCTTTCTTCTTAGAGGAAGTACAGAAACAAGTAACTCTGGATTTGTTTTAATCTTTGAGGTGCAATAAACGACACAGCAGCTTTTTGTCATGTTAAAACTATTATTTTCTGCCTCGCTCATGAGAGTAACAGCTGGCGAAATTACAGCCTCGCCTACTGATTTCAATTTAACCATATATCGAGCCCGATTCTCGATTTCAAATGTGTGCTCTAAAATGATATTTATAAATGACTATTATCATTATTATAAGCAAGGCAATAAATGGCAAAGATATGTAGAAAATAAACGTATTTAAGATACGTTCATAACGAACGTAACGTGGGAGAAAATACGTTTCTAGAAGATATGTAGAAAATAAACGTATTTAAGATACGTTCATAACGAACGTAACGTGGGAGAAGATATGTTTCTAGAAGATATGTAGAAAATAAACGTATTTGAGATACGTTCATAACAAACGTAACGTGGGAGAAAATACGTTTCTAGCTAAACGTAATTGAGAATGCAGTTTAGTTCTGTGGGAACGTAATTTTTAGGAGACAGGGTTGTATATGGGTATGAGGTGTGTCTTTGGGGTTTTTCTGTCCTTTTGTGCAGCATAAAAGCACTGGTTGAGGGGGAGAAAGCTCCAGAGTGGGTAAGTTCAATCAAATTGGTTTTGTTTTGACTGTATTTTACTAACAATACTTTAAAATGTTACAACTGAAATGGGGTCAGTTGAAGTTAGACTTTAAATGTTACAACTGAAGAGGCCAGTTGAAGTTAGAATTGAAAGTATCAAATGTAAAACTGAAGTGAGGTTTCATATTAGAACAGGACCACAGCATGATATGTTTTGTATGATTGTCACATTGTAACGAGAGAAAGTAAAAAACCCTGTACAACTGTGGACCATTTTTCTTCAAATAAACTGATCCCACCCTTTGGACTGGGATTACTTAAATAAATCTGCGCTCTCCTCTCCTGCTTAAAAGGTAAGATTGCACAACTGCCCCACTCCCACTGAGGTAGGACCACACCTCATCACTGATATCAAAATCCTTCGGGATCGCTTAAACAGATTTAGCGGGTCGTCTGAATTGAAACAGCAGTTAATGGAACCTGGTTCTTCAGGAGTTAGTAGAGGTGAGATCTTGCTGACCTTGCTGGATCTGAGCCAAGCAGTAAACTTACAGGGACTCAATAACTTCTGTTGGGTCAGGAGGTCTGAGTCATTGTCGGATTAAATTAACAGGCCTCGCGACTCCAACAAGACAAACTACGTATGGGATGGGGACCACGAATATACCAGTCAAACTACGGTGCCAGAGCTAGAGGGGTAGGCATTATCATTGTTTCGTTTGATCATAGGTGCAGTCAGTGATCCAAATGGCAGATTTATAATTGTATCAGGCACACTCAACGTCACGTTGATTAATGTTTATGGTCCAAACTTTGACGACCCTGCAGTTTTGAATGGAATTCCAGATGTTGGCAACACAAACATTATACTGGGAGGGGACTTCAATTGCGTCTTGGACTCTTTGCTATAAGCAATCCCAAAGGACGTCCGTGAACAGTAAATCCAGCGAGGAGTTAAAAAAGACTGCATAACCTACATTTAGTAGATATCTGGAGGCTACTTAACCCTACGGCCAGAGGTTATTCTTTTTTCTCCCGTGCATAAATCCTATTCAAGGATTGACTTCATGTTGTTGGATTCTAAGCTGATCTCTAGTGTTGCGACTACACGATACCACAACATCTTGATCAGTGATCACGCTCCCATGTCACTCGATATCAGATGTAACAACCATAAAGGCGAACACACCTGGAGATTCGATAACACCATTTTAAAAGGGAAACGTTTTCTAAAAGATATGTCGGACAGGCTGCCTGATATTATAGCTACAAACGATGCAGGTGATGTGGATGATTCAGTGTTATGGGAATCCATTAAAGCAGTGCTTAGGGGCAGCATCATATCCTATGTAGCTGGTAAGAGAAAACAAAGAGAAAGGAGGTTAGTGGAGCTGGATGAAGGCTAGAACGTTCATACAGAGCCTCCGGAGGCCCCGACACATTGAACTCTATAGTTTCCCAAAGAGACAGGCATAAGCCTCCCGGGCAATTCTGAGAATAAAATGGGCACTGTCCTCACTGACCCTAAAGAAATAAATGCACGTTTCATGGAATTCTATTCAAATCTGTATAAGTCCAATGGCAATCGGGATACAGATGCAATTAAGTCATTTCTCTCTGAGCTGAACTCATCTCAACGGTGAAGCAAAAGCGGATTTAGACAAAGACATCTCTATGGAAGAGATAATAAAAGCAATTAGTGAATCTTCAAATAATAAGGCACCTGGCCCTGATGGATTCACTATAGAATTTTACAAGTGCTTCACTAAGGAACTATCCCCACTGCTGCTGCGTATGTTTAAACATGCAGCGTCAAATGGCCGACTGCCTCAAACGCTCTATAATGCGAATATTTCATTGATCTTGAAAAAGGGCCGGAATGAGCTGGAAGCCTCATCTTACAGACCTGTGTCGCTGATCCCTAATGAAACAAAGTTGATTAGCAACATTCTAGCTAACCGATTGAAGCTTTATATCCAGACGATTGTACACCCCGATCAAACAGGCTATATTGCCAATAGGCATATTTATTTCAACTTACGACGCCTATTTAACATACTATATGCTGAGCACAGAGACAGTGGTGATTTCAGTGGACGCTCAGAAGGCCTTTGACCTGGTCGAGTGGCCATATGTGAACCTAGAGACATTTGGCTTTGGGAAGAGGTTCATTGACTGGATACAGATTTTGTATGCTCATCCCACAGCTAGTGTGATCACTAACCAGAATATCTCCCCCCAGTTCCCACTATACCGTGGCACTAGACAGGGAGATCCCCTCTCACCTTTTTTATTTGCTTTAGCCATTGAGCCCCTAGCCACAAGTATACGGAGGCATCCCGGAATATCACCTGTCTCTGTTAAAGGGCAGAATCATCAACTGTCATTATATGCGGACGACATATTGCTTTATGTGTCAAAACCACAGGAATCTATGCCCTCAATTATAGAGCTGTTTAACCATTTTGGCTCCTTCTCAGGGTTTCAAATAAACTGGGATAAGAGTGAATTAATGCCAGTGTACTTGAACCAGAACAGCTCCACACTGAAATATGTACCCTTTAAGACACACCAGAGTACTTTTCCCCGTTTAGTTCCGTTAGTGCCTGGAATTTTGCGTTCACACCAAAAAGAGAACTTAGTTCCGAGAACTTTTACCCCCATTTTTAGTGTCTGCTAGAGAGGTGGGACTTTCCTGAGGAGAAAAAAGTACCAATTTCGATTGGCTGGGCGAATTGCAAATCACGCCCCGTTAAACTCTGAAAGGTTTTGTGAACCCGCCATTGTATTTGCTTTCATTAGCATTATTAGCATTAGCATTAGCCCAGCGCACCAATGGAGAGACTAACTTATGGCAACACAAAAAAAAACATGGGAGCGGTGGAGATGAGGAGGTGTCGGCGTTCTGGCGATTTACTCGGAAGGCTTCAGTAGAAGCTGCTGGGAGTCCCAGCAGCTTCTACTGAAGCCAGTCCCCAACTCCGGTTAGGGTTGGGGACTGGCCCTAGCCCAGTGTGCTCTGATTGGTCGGGACGTTGCGAGGCTCGCTGCTGCTGCAAGGAGCGGACAGGTTTCCGGGTCGGCAATACAGTGAAACACGGCAAAACTCATCCTGAGCACACACAAACACTCACAGCCGAAGTAAAAACAATAAGTGTGGCTTGATATTGAGTAAGAAAAAGGTTTCTAACGCTGTGAGAATGGGTCTGCGGAGAGCATTTATCCGCCATCCCAACTCGTCTATTACCAGCGTTCAGGGAGCTCTATGCAAGTCAATGGGACTCCCTGTTAGTTAGCCAAGGGATCCTGGTGTGTGAGGGGCTCCGCGGATTGGTCCATTTGGGCCAATCCGGTCATTTGTTGTTGATTTGGGAGTTCGCACGTCACAGAACCCAGGAAGCAAACAATGGAAAAAGAGAAATCTCCAACGAGGCGTTCTGGGGCAGCACAGACAGGTCTTTTCTGTGTTAGAGTTTTACTTGCTACAGGGTGTACTTTGAGGGTTTGTGACTCAGCAGACCGTTTACACGCAGAAAAACCTTCATAACACAAGGGGACGGGTAATAACCAGAAAAGCATGACATGGGCCCTTTAAAATATGGAAACAAATTAAAACATACTTGAAAGCCCCAAATATGCACATAGACAGCTCAATCTGTGGCAACCTCACCTTTAAACCGGCCAGCATGGATTCTGCGTTTGCTCGCTGGAAGGAGAAGGGAGTGGAGTGCTTGAAGGACTTGTACCAGGGGGGCCACTTGATGTCCTTTGAGCAATTGAGGAACAAATACGATCTCCCGGCCTCACACTTTTTTCGATATCTACAGATCCGGAGCTTTATGAGGTCTCAGCTACATTTGCAGATATACCACAGCATCGGGCACTTGAAGAGATAATTCATGTCAGACCAGGATGTAGAGGAGCAGTGTCAACCCTATACCAGACACTTCTTAGCCAGGAAGTAGTCAGCACAGAAAAATATAGAACTGAGTGGGAGACAGAAATGGGTATGCTGATCACTGAGGAATGTTGGAAATTTTTGTCTTAGGAATATTCAATGGTGTTCAGTAAATGTTAGATTCAATCTGATACAAGTAAACAAGTAAACAAGTAAACAAGATGTATTCCAACGTATCAGCATTATGTAACAAATGTAAGAATCAACCTGGCCCCCTTACACACCAATTCTGGACATGCCCCAACCTCCACTCATTCTGGACTTCAGTATTTGATTTTTATTCAAAACCATTTGACAAGCCTCCGCTGTGGATTTTCAAATCAAAATACAGTAAAACTATGGTCGTAGGCCCAAGTTTAACTCTCTGAGGGCTAAGCCATTTTTTCACATGTGGGCTTTTTGACCATTGGGCTGGCCTGCGTGGTCTGCCTACAACAAATAAAAAGCCGTTTATGCAGCCCCAACAATAGCCTCTGGTCATCAACAGACTTCATGCAATGCTTCATTGGATGCATATATTAGATAATAATCTCTATCTAACTCCTAACATCTAAATCTACTTCCAGCACGGATAAATGTTCATAAAAGACATCCATTGTTTGTTTTATACGCTTCTTGAAATCTAAAAAACAAAAACACGTAGTTTTTCTAGAACAGATTACAAATCGCCTGAAAATGGTACAAACAAGTGGCAACATGTGTGACGAAGGTGTTGCGCTGGGCTATATCATGCAATCGAAAGTGAAACTTAAAGTGGACCTATCATGCAGTGTGCACTTTTGTATGTCTTTGATACATGAATATGTGTCCCCGGTGTGTCAGGGAACTCACCAAGTGTCAGAAAACACAACCCTCTCTCTTTTCCTCCATATCCAAATCTCTAAAAACGGATCTGATACAGACTGATACAGATTTTGAAAATTCTCTGACGGCAGGAACGAGGAGCTCCGCCTATATGGGCAACTCCCCACCTATCAGGAGGAGACAGCCACGGCCATTGCCGTTCGAAAGCACTGGAGTACATATGCCAGGCCTGTAGGTGGCGCTGTAGTCTGCCACAAAAGCAGCGAAGAAGACTTCTCAGATTCAGCCCTTGCAAAAACAGGGCTGGAAAAGAGCAAATAGAGCGAAATGAGGCATGGCTAAAATGCATGATCTGTTTGGTATTTTGAAAAAAAAACTTTGCAGACATGTTTTATATAGGTATGGCCCTACAATATATTATTCAAATATAGCATGATAGGTCCACTTTAAGCTCGAGATATTCCCGCGAGAGTGTGGAAAACTTAAATGAATTAATGTATTTCAAATGTGACATTTTACCAATATACTCACGGACCACTAGGGGGCGCTAACGGACC